CCTGACTGTCACAGGGTTTTACGAGGGGTTCGAGCACTTCGCTCAATATGGACCAGATTACCAAAGAATGTTGGATTGCTACCGAGGCACTGATGGAGGGCATGACGAAGCATTGATACAGATCCGTGGGGATGTTGGGGACCTTCCAGGGTGCGATTGTTTGTTTTTTTTCCTGGCGAGGTGTTCATGCGACAAAATGACAGACTGGAGAAGTTCAAGATCCACCCCGTCATCTTCGACTCCGCAATACATGCTCTGGTCCATCCGATGTTCACCTGTCTCGCAGACAAATCGTTGTATTATCTTCCGTCTCATCTGCAAAATCTGACGATCCATGAAACACTTGTTACGTCCCCATTCCCGCGGTCTCTCTATACTCATGTTGTTTTCCGCCAGTGGACGCCTCGTGAGTTCTCTTATGATGGACAGTTTGATCGGTGACTGATAAAAAGAAGAATCTCTGACATATGATGTCACCCTCCTGGATGAGGACGGAAATCGTCTCTGCACGATGGAATCATTCGAAGTTGCCCTTCACGGAGAGTCCTCTCTATACGAGCCGGGACGTCGCTTCGACTTGGCGTATGAACCCATGCTACTCGACCTGTCTTCGTGTCGTCAGTCAACCCGGGAAGAATTGCCAGGGGATGACGAGAACAGAGATAGCTCCCGTAAACTCGTCGAGGCAGATGCCGGAACGACATTGCCGGCTCCGTTCGATGTCATCGTTTACGAGCACGGAAAAGGGATAGAACTTCAGCCGATATTATCCGCACAGGACACTGCTGCTCCTCGCACCATCTTTTTCACGGCACTCGCTGGTGTGGACGGAGACGAAGCTGTCGGGTTCGTGCGTGCATTACGGAAGGAATATCTTTCATGGACAATTCGCGTCATGGTGTTCGACCCGGCTTGGGACGACGAAAGCATAAGACGGGCTGTTGAAGTGGTATCCACGATGCCCGAGGCGGAGACGGAACTTGTGGTGGACGCATCGGGATCGGTGCATGTCCCAAGAATAACATTGTGCGAGGGTCCGAAGAACGTCTCTCCTTTCGACTTCCACGAACCATGGCAGCTCGAGAAGTCGGAAGTCGTTCATTGCTCGTCGCCTCCTGTGGATTGTCGTTCGGCTGTCGTGCATGTGCACACTGTCAGCCGGTCGGACGATCAGATATGGACTTTCGTTGGCTCCCTGGGCAGTTCCCGCAAAGGTGTCATGGGGATATCCGCTTCTCCCATTGGAAACATCATCACCTCGCCGCTTGATAGCCTGGTGGATGCCCCTGCGTCCGTGGATGTTGATGCGTCGACGGGTCCTCCGGTTCTCGCTCTTGCTATAGCAGTCCTTGCTGTTGGCCCTGCATATATTGAGAACCCGGGAAGGTTCCGTGGAGAGATCCTTGTGACACATGCAGATACTCAGACTGGCATGCTGATTGCTCAAGTCTACCTTCTCCGAGGCTTTTCCGTCGTTACTCTAACGCAACATGCTACGGCCTCCGAAATCAGCCGTCTCCCAAATGGTCATTTTAGCATCATCGTCTCTGAATACAGAGACGCGGGAACGCTTCATCTATTATCGCGCCTCTTGACGGCTAACGGGAGGACCTTCCCGTGGAAGCATTCTACGAAAGGCTTGCAATCGGTGCTCGCCTGCGACCCGTGGTTGGTCGGTCACGCCATTTGTCTTGGATTAAGCATAGCTGGCAACGAGCTTAAGATTCCCATGCGCAACCTCAGCAATGTTATTACTACAAAGCCCGGCGATCTCGTCCCTGTGAAGAAGCATCTTTTCAGCGACAAGAAAGCTTATATACTGGTGGGAGGCGTCGGCAGCCTTGGACTTCAGATTGCCCAGTGGATGTACAAGGTCAGGACGTCCGTTTTCACCGAACTCACTTAATATGCTAAGTCGACTGATTAGAATGGGGCTCGGGAAATCGCTCTGACTTCTCGGTCTGGGCGCGCTGGAATTCTGCGCAGGGGAGACACTGCGTCTCAGCGCATCATTGCATATCTCGACAGCCTACCAGATTTGAATTTACGCATCGAGGCAGTCGATGCCCTCTGCGAGGATGGTATGAAAGCGTTGGTGCAAGAACTCCAGAATCCGCTCGGGGGATGTGTGTTACTCTCCGTGGTTTTGGCGGATGGCCTCTTTTCTGGTCTGTCCACTGAGAACTTTGATGCGCCATTCAACGGAAAGATTAGAGGATTCGAGGTGCTATGCAACACCATTGACACAAGCAAGCTGGATTTCTTGATTTCGATCTCCTCGGTGTCGGCACTTTTCGGGAATGCGGGCCAAACTAATTATGCTGCGTAGGTCTTTTGAGTTGTGTGCGTAAATCGACGGCTCACATTCCTCAGAGCGAACACCGTGTTGGATGGCAGACTGCGCGCCATGCCCAACGCGTTCTCTATTGTGACTCCCGCAGTCACAGACTCATTCGTCGCTACATTGAATCCCACAAAGCTGAAACGCTTGGCAGATTGGGGGATGTCGTCTCAGAGTGAGTTGTCCCCTTACCATGATACGGGACTCCACTTTATATTTCCTCAGGGATTGTTCAATTCATCGGGGAAGGTATCCAAAAGCTCGCTGACGGCCCTTTCTGGCTCTATATTCCGGAATTCGACTGGGAAGCGGTCCGCGCCACGCTGGGAAATGAACAGATGTATACTCACTTATTGCCCGAGCGGACGGTCGCAGAATACGGAACGTCGACCTCAAAGGATAGTGTTTCGATCAGTGACGTACTGTGTGCCACCCTGGACATTGCGCGCGAAGACTTATCTCCCGACGTTCCTTTAACGGTGTATGGTTTGGATTCGCTATCAGCTGCGAGGCTATCCTTTGCCTTGAACCGCTTCTTTGCCATCAGCCAAACCCAACTCCTTGCAAACGTGACCCTTCGGAGTCTAGAAGCCCGGTTAGAGGACCAGCGGCCGTCTTCCCTCTCTGAAGCAGAGCAAAGCAGTGCATCTTTGCTTCACAAGGTATCTGAGATGAGGTCCTTGGTTTCCAAGTACACGTCTGGATTCAAGAGCCCCAAGACGCTGCTGCCTTCCTCTCTGAGCTCACGAGACTGCGTCGTTCTTATTACCGGTACCACAGGCATCGTGGGCGCACACCTTCTGGAATGCTTGCTCCGCGCACCAGAAATCAGTCGCATATTTCTTCTCAACCGTGCCAAGTCCGGAACTCCGACCATGTTGGAACGTCATCAAGAGATTTTTCAGGCACAGTCTCTCGACCCGACGGGACTGAACACAGACAAGGTCGTGTATTTGGAAGGCATTTTGGACAAAGATTACCTTGGATTGTCACTTGAAACGTTCAACGACGTGAGCAGTTACCTTTTCAAAATGAGAATTTCGTGAGGTTCATCTTGTCTTAGATGGCGCAAAACGTCACCCACATTGTGCACGTTGGTGGGAATTTTCTTACGGTAATTATTATTCATACTGAAAGGCTTGTAGCTTGGCCAGTGGACTTCACCATTCCCCTCTCCGCATTTGATCACGCTCTTCACGGTCTGCGGAATTTGGTGGACTTCGCCATCTCCTCGCCCTGGCAAGTTCCGCCTCAACTGCTTTTCACAAGCTCATTCGGTGTACTGAATGGTGAGGTACTTCGGGAGTAATTTGCACTAAATCGCTGACGTTTTGGTAGGTATGGCGTCATCGAGTGCCGTAGAGGAGGCTCTTACACATGACCCCAGTATATCTGTTGGCACAGGATATATCGAAAGCAAATGGGTTGCAGAGCACGTCTTGGCGGCTGCTGCTGATGCCACGCGACTGAAGCCAACTATTATTCGCGTGGGGCAACTCACTGGGGGGCGCAATGGCAACTGGAAGACAACGGAATGGATCCCATCCATGATCAGTTCAGGCCTCCCCCTTGGTTCTTTGCCTAATCGTTCTGATGTGAGTTTTCTTCATTGCCGTCCGACTGTCGCTGACCTTTGTAGACTATTAATTGGCTTCCGATTGATGTGGCTGCGGCATCGATGGTGGAGATGTTCAATTCACCCCCTGGCGTGTATCACTTGATTCATCCAAGTCCTGTTTCATGGACTACTCTGATGCAGGAAGCTGCTCGCATCATGAATGTTCCTCTGGTCCCGTACGCTCAGTGGCTCGCTTCTTTGGAGAAACAGGCGTCGTCACAAACGGCAACAACGTCGCAGGACAATCCTGCGCTGAGACTGCTTGACTTTTTCAAGTTTACTGCTCGCAGAAAGAATCTCGCTACGAATACCGAGGTTTTCTCGGGGCCGGAGCTCTCGTGTGCTAAGTCATTGCGAGAATCTCCGACGATGCGATCAATTGTTTCAAACCCGCTGGGAGCGAAGGATGTAGCTAAATGGATTGGATACTGGCGCAGCGTTGGCTTCATTCCCGTTTGATTCAAATTCAGCGCCCTGCCAATGTAGATAGGCTTGTCTTCATGCTCGCATGTAAATCTGTATATATATAGAACTACGATCAATTCACGATGATAGCAAACGCTCTGTCGAGGACAGCAGAGCTACGTTGAAGTTACAAGCCTGCTGTGGACACCCGCTATCTCAGCGGCAAGTACCGCCCTCGGTATTAAAATTGAACGGAAATTAGCTTTACAAACATGACACGGGATGGGATCACTGCCCCTGCCAGGTGCTGTTAGCCCACAAAACAACAGTTCGGTTTCCGTTTGCCAGCACCCCGTGTCCGCTGGCAGGCCCTAGATATGTGTAAACCAAACACAGCGAGTTGCGTTATCATGATAACGGTCGAATGCGATTGAAAAGGTAATGACAAACAAGACTCTGGATCTTGACGGGCCGTCTGGCACGTATTCCACCCTTTTTCCGAGGATGGATATCTTCATATTGATATTGGCGGATGTCGGGCAGAAGAGTATACATGCATCTTGGATCATCGTAGTAATACTCTGGCAAATTCAAATTGAACCTACAGCTGGAGCGATGTTGAGATGTCACTTTCAAACTCCGTTATGTTCAGATGCTGTATTGTGGCAGAAGAAGGCCACTCCTATTGTGCGTACTTCCAACTCCAAATCGTGAACGTCCAACTCCCCATGGACTGGTTCAAAAAACACCGTCAGCGGCATCCTGACCAGCAGCATGAGGCTCCGCCAGGTGCTCCCCCTGGATGGGCACCTGCAGTAGAGCAATCATGCACGTACGGTCTTCAGAACGAAGCTTCAGATGAAAGTTACGAGAAAGCCCTGGAATTCTGTGAGAGACATCCTGTTGAATCGTCAACAATTCTACCCTCTTGGACCATCGCGGACATCGATAGCAATGGATGCTCAGAATGGCGAATCCAAGTTCACGACTCTTCCCCTGTCGCCGTAGTCCATAATTCAGACGGGAAGGGCGGACTCTCGCAAATACGTTCAAGGACAGGCTGCCCAGATACATGTCTCCTCAGCAACCTGCCAATAGTCGCTGGTCAATATCACTTTCCCAACGATGGTGGAGTGTACTTTGAGATCACTGTAAACAAAATGACAGACCCAAACAAAGGAGGCGTAATCGCAATTGGTATGCACGGTGTCGCTCCTTCCACCACATCTCATTCTTTGTCCGTCAGGCACTGCTTGCAGACCGTACCCCTCGTGGAGGCTCCCTGGCTGGAATCGATTGAGTGCAGGGCTTCACCTCGACGACTTCCACAAATTCTTTGAGGATCCAGAGGGCGGACGCCCCTACTTCCCAGGCTCCCCACCCATTACGTCTGTCGTTGGCCACACAATCGGTTGCGGATATTCTTTCCACACAGGTACAATGTTCTTCACAATCGACGGTCAACGCCTGCCAGATGCGTTTACCGGGGTATATTTGCAGAACCGCTGCGAGATTGATGTGTACGCCGCTGTGGGTGTGTCTGGGGAGTGTGACGTTTCTGTAAATTTTGGTGGTAGCTCTTTCAAGTGGCTGGAAGGAAATGAGTGGAGATGGAGGGTTGATAGGCAGGTGAGAAAGCTTGGAGATGATGTTGGAGAGCAGGAGGAACTGCCGGCGTACAGTGCACGCTAGTACATTTCTTGGACTGTCAGCCTAGACAGATAGACGAAACGGACTTGTGTTTAAAAGTGATAGTACCAGATTGAAACCCTATCGGTTGTTGCAGTCAGTTATGAAATGAAATCATGTTTCGAACCTGCAGTCTTGGCACGGCGTAAAAGTACAAAGTACACCCTTTTCTACTTGTCCAATCTTTTCATCCAACTTTATCCTTATCAGCTACTGGTCTCTGCTCCATCGAGTCCAGTTAATACAAGCCGTCCGCTAACGAACATAGCAACGCATCTGAATCTGCAAGCAGTGCTTCATTGACTTGCTGGCGTCTTACTCGCGTAATCTGTCAGTCCCAGATATATAAGCGGTCGCAACCTGCAGTCAAAGATGGCTTCTGTCACCTACCGCGCATCCGGTTTCTGGGCGGATAGGATGAGCTACTTTGGGGATACGGAACAGGGCATGGACGATGTTGAGGTGGATTTGGACATTGAGTATGATAAAAGGACGCCGTTGGACAAAACTATTGATAGAATCGGGATGGGTACGTCGTATTCTCAGGCTCGCGTTTCTGATTTGGTACTTACGTCAAGCAGGGAGTTATCAATGGACGCTGCTGTCATTATGCGGGTTTGGTGAGTACCATCTCCTCGTCAGTTGACAATCTTGTCAATCATGACTGACTATGGTATGTTCCATCAGGATGGATGGCGGATAATGTGAGTAGCTCACGGAAACACTCCCGATTTCCCTGACATATCGCTCAGATGTGGATTCAAGCTGTTGCAATAATTCTCCCTAGAGTACAACAACATTATTCAGGTACGTTCCCTTTACGCTCACAGTGCGTTATAATATAACCCTCTCCCAGTTTCTGACACCTACAGTGGGACTCTTTCATCGTCCATGTTCGCTGGCATGATGTTCGGCGCTGTGGGCTGGGGAACCTGCTCCGACCTCCTGGGGCGCAGTGCTGCGTTTAACGCAACTCTCTTTTTCACTGCAATATTCGGCATTCTTGCATCTTTCGCATGGTCGTTTTGGTCATTATGCATCCTGCTATTTTTCCTCGGTAGCGCAGTTGGTGTACGTTAATATCCCGTCTTGTAGATTTCCTGTGCTTATTGGGCGTCTTCGGTTTAGGGTTCAATGCCAACTGACGGCACCCTTCTCCTCGAACATATGCCTAACGGGAAGCAATATCTTGTCACTGCGCTTTCCGTATTTTTCTCCCTAGGCTCTGTTCTATCCGCGGGCGTTGCGTTGATAGTCATTCCTTCCCGCTCATGTCCCCCTAACGAGCCCTGCGATGTCGCTACCCAGAATACAGGCTGGAAATACATGCTCGTATGCCTCGGTATCATTGTACGTCCACTCCTCAGATGATTTATAACTATCTCCGACCTTGATCATTACAGACACTTTCAATGTTCCTCGCACGTATGGTCTTCTTCCGTTTGCATGAGTCCCCGCGGTATCTCGTACACGCTGGGCGACACCAAGAAGCACTAGAAAGTCTCCAGCTCATCTCTAGATTCAATGGCTCCGAGCTACCACTAGAGCTAGAAGACGTCGATGACAGGCCTCCGCCCGTCTCCGAAGCACATGGATCTGCAGGGGAGCGTGTACCATTCCTCCCTAACTCCAACTCCAAAGATCCTCGAACAAATGGGGAGACACTATTCGACGCAGGTGCAGATAACAGTAGCACATCAAGCGATCCGAATCAGAATGGAACAAAAGTCTACCAATCTATGGACGAAGCCTCTCATGGTGCACTAGATGGACACTCGTTCATAACGCCCGTAGGAGAAGTACCTCCACGTGGGCAAAGCCTTGCACGTGGACATAACTCTCGTCCTTCCTCTCGAGACTGGGAGTCCGATTCTAAACACCTTTTCTCGATCCCTGAGGCGCGCCCACGGCCTTGCCAAGGTACCATACACCCGCGGACGTCATCTGTCGTCTCTTTTGAGATGAAACAGCGTGTTGGAAGCGTGCTTCCGCGATGGGTGCGCCGGCCGCTGCTTGCTTGGCTAGACCGTGTCGGCATGGTCTTGGCTCCTGAATGGTTCCGGACGACGATACTCATGTGGGGCGTGTGGTTCTTCATGTCATTAGGTGGGTTGTCTCGTGTCTTGCAGGGTACGAGAGGCTCATTGGGATCTACCCAGCGTATACGATGTTTAATGTCTACCTCCCCAAGCTGCTCGAAACTGGATCGAGTGATGATACCTCGACGAAGTCTCTAGAAGCTAGCTTGTGGGATGTTTTAATATTTACTATGGGAGGGTGTCCTGGTGCTATCGTATGTCTTTCCTGTTTTGTTTCATGTGTTGATGGTGATGTTGATGGCTGACTGCAGCTCGGAGCCTATATGGTCGAAAGTCCTCTTGGCCGGAGAGGCTCGCTGGCTGCGACCACGTTCATCACAGCATTCTTTTGTATCGTGTTTGTGCTCGTCAGAAGCGCGTTTTTGGTGCGCATAAGTTCGGTTGGGATCAGCCTTAGTGCCACGGTGCGTGACTCTCCTCAAAGACGTATTTTGTCTTTCTTAAAAGGCCATACAGACCATGTACGCAGTACTATATGGGTATGCCCCAGTGAATCACATCCCAGTGTCACATATCTAATTCTTCCTAGCTGGACGCCAGAAATATTCGGGACAAAGGTTCGGGGAACAGCATGTGGCATCGCATCCGCGCTATCACGAATGTACGTCGTCTCATTAATACCAAAATACCATTGACTTAATTTCACGTCAGAGGGGGGATGATCGCTCCTCTAGTTGGCGGCGCACTTCTTGTCTTGAACCGCGCGTTCCCGGTGTGGGCGGGCGTCTTTGTGTATGGCATCACTGGCGTCTTTGTGCTGCTCTTGCGGGAGTCTGCTGGGAATTCTAGTGCGGGCGCAGAGCGGTCGTTCATGCACTGACGTAAGTCTTGTGCTGACAGAGGTGTATAGCGCTGTTGGATTCATGTGCTGCTGCTTCTGATCGATTATCGTTGTGCTGTGATATATTGTATCATGGTCTCTGCTCACGTATTTTGCATCTTGATAAATTGGATGTATCTGTTTGTGTTCAAGTGGAGGAAGTATGCGTTCGGTGTGATTTGGTGAGGGTCTCAGGCTTCCGGAATTGTCCACTACGTTTTGCGTGGTGAATGTCGAGACGAAAGCAGTCGAGCTGGATGTGTAGTTACAAGTCGATGAAAGTGACGGATTGGATTTTTGACGCTGGGGTGGACATCGATGCGGGCTGATAAGGAGTGCGAGGTTTTGTACTCGTCCCCACACGCATCTACAATGGTGGATGGGTTGGTCTGAAGTGCAGAGAATGTGAGCATATATTCGAGGACGGTTGAGACGATGATATGAGGAAACTCATCAGCTAGCGCCGAAAGCAGAACTGCAACGAATGGCGAACTCCCATCTAAACTGCCAGCGCGGACGAAGTGACCATCAGGTTCAGCAGGGAAAATGCTATAATAACTCTCTGCGTCAGGCCTACAGCGTACGAGGACAGCTCACCACAGCTCCTCCGAACGTATCCAAAAAATATCTTGGGCCACGATAACGCAAACGTCTGAGGTGTGCAGGCCGGGCACTGCGATTATATTAGTCAGAACGAGACAATGGGATATCGCGCTGGCCAAAGCCAGCAAAAGATTCAGTTGACATAATAAGTGAAACATATCACAAGAGCGGACAATGTAGAGAACGAACGATAAATAGAACAAAAGTAGATTGTCCTGGCGTTGCTAGACGCAGCGCACGCTTGGTTACTTCCAACAATTTTCCCGACGGCCAGTGAGTGATTGGCGGGTCTTAGGGAAAGACTGCTCCACAATGGGACTTCCAGGCAGGTAAGGTGATTGGGGAAGGCGGGATTTTTGGAAAGCGGAAATACGGGCATGGCAATATCAACGATCACTGCTAGTGATCATCCGGCGCTGAAAGTTGAGACGGGGATTGTGAAAAAAAATTAGGGCCGTTCTCCAGGGGTGAGCTGTATGCATATCTATGCGGACAGCACACTTCTGCCGAGCGGGTCAGATATCGATAATTCCACAACACGGATTATGGAGATTGGACGTTGATTAGTAATATTGCCAGTGGCAGCTGGAACAGTCCGGGTGGTTTGGAACTCCGCTAGGACCTTTCATGTGATGCTCATCAACCAACAGTGTAGAATTGTATTCTAAGTGAGTCCGAGGAACGAGGACGAACGTAGAATGTCGTCTACGCGGCAGATGTCCTTTTTGGGACATCTCTTCTTTGCTTTGTACTACTACGCGCAAACTCTCAATACTCGACGACTCATAGTCGTAGCACTCGTTCTTTTCGCACCCGCCCACCACTCCTGTCGGAAATTTCCCACCCTCATTGCAATGACCAGCGATTGAGATTAGATTTGATTTGAACAATGCAATGCACGTGACCGAATTGCAACACAGCTTAATCCTTTGCAAATGCAGCCGCAGAGGCAACATCGACATGCGAAGGGGTGGACCATTTTTGGTCTCACGTGACGCCAAAATGGTCGTGCACGTGAACGACCATTGCGAGACCAATCGTAAGTCACGTGATATATGTTAAAAAAACAGAGGGATGGAAGAATGAGACTAACATGTGGAAGGGGGGGGAAGGAGAATGATGCGAAGCAACGGCGGGGCTTGATAGAAGCGTGATAATGTAATATACACAAAATCTGAACCATTAGTAGCGAGGGGGAAAGGAGACTGCGAGGTACTTAAAAAGACGAGCACAAGAGCACTTGAATTGAAAGATCGGAATTACTACGAGGCCCAATGCTCCTGGAGATACTCGACGCGAAGGTGCTTGACACCATTGTGCACAATCAGCAGTGCGTCCGGCGTCGATTCGTCAATCTCGAGCTCCTCATACAGCTTGAACAGCACAGTCCCTGATTCGAGTGTCATCGACTGGTCGAGAAGCATCATTGCAAATGCCTCCTGCTCGAGTGCAGGGCTTTCACCAGATGGCCGGAGGAATACTTGCTCGTATATTTGCTTGACGATTTCGAGGAACGCACGCGGATGGAAGCGCTTGCCTTCAGAGAATATGCCTGGTGGCTGTGGCCAGGGTGGAGGCGGCTCGTTTTTGGACACCTGCTTGGCGCCGTCGGCGCAAAAGCCCCATCTGTGGTTGTACCCCGAGTTCTTGGGACCGGGGTACATGATTGTCTTGCAGCGGGAGCATGTGTGTGCCTTGCAGATCTGGGAAAGCAAAGGGTAGTAGAGAGTGAGTGAACACAAAATTTTTGAGAAAGAATTGCGCACCTTCTTCCCAGGCTCGGCCTTGATGAGCTTGATAGTGTGACAGTGCCTTCTCCAGAATGTTTCTGAGCTGGAACAAGCTGTATTGTGAATTGGAGCAAGTAGTTAGTGCGTGAAAAAACGCAGGCCTGAAGAGCAGCTGAACTCACACTTGAAGTCGTTCTTTGCCACACGGTTCATGACAGCCACTTCGATCTCGCCGAGCTTTCGGAGAAGGGCCTGGGGTTCTTCCTCACTGTTTCGAACCTGTTAGCGCGGTTCTTCTCCTCGAGACGGTAGTTATAGGACTCGGTAGCTACAGCCCACTGTTTTGGTGTCATCTTGAAAGAGATCCACACAAACTCGGCCCTCATGTCCATAAACAAATGAAACTCGATGTCGCCAGAGATTTGCATGGCATGGGCATCAATTCTTGATGCAATCGTGAAGAAATGCTGAGAACGTGTCATCCCCGGAGGCCTCGGGATGGGTGTGAGATTGTTTGCGGCAGGGCTTGTCACTGCAATGGGTGCGAGATCGTTTGTGGCAGGGCTGGTCACTGCAATCTGTGGAGTGGAGTTGGATGTGACCTTGGGTTGAGGTTGGCTGGGAGTGCCGGTGCTGATGGCCATCAGCGGCCGCGAGAGAGGAGCTTTGCAGTATGGCAACCTGCTCCTGGGCTTGAGGTAGCAGTCCAATGTGGCTGGTGGAATCCCCTGCAATGCGGGTCAGTAAAGAAAGGAAGCGGTTTTCGTGCGATGATGAATTGGAGAGGGGAATATGTGGATATGCTGTGGATATGCGAGGTAAGTGAAGTAAGCGGCAGAGAACTTACCTGACTCGGAGATGTCAAATGCCGCATGATTTTGCGGGGCGGCAGCTTGCATGCCATACTCCCCTTTGGTTGGCCAGAATCTGAGTCGTCGGGTTCGCTGTCGGAGATGACAATGGTGTCATCTGCCTTGCGCTTCTTCATTGCATGTGGCTGAGTATTGGTTCCGACGTTGGCTGAACTGGCAGAAGTGGTGTCACTGACATTGGCAGTAGCAGGATGAGGAGGGTGAGGCAGTGGTGTGATGAGGGCTGGAATATGAGGCGAAGACTCAGATACAGGTGCCTCCGGCATAGAAAGGAGTTGTGGGTCAATATCAAATTCTTCGAGGATTTCAGCCCTCGTCAACCGCAGGACAAGGTCTACAGCATCACCATCATCGCTGAGTGCCTCAAGCATCTTGTTTCCAGACATGTTGAGATCGACAGGCGTGTCTTCGGCCTTGATGTCCAGTAGCCCACCAAATGTGGAGGCGAAGCTTGATTCAACAAGCCCAAAGTGCTCATTCGATGGGACATCTTGGAGGTCTGGTAGGCAGCATGTGCTAGTGGTCTTCTCTTCGAGTCGGAGGTTGTTGAATTGCTTCGCGATCCTGTCGACAAGGTGAATGTGATGAGAACTGTGAGTTGATGTGATAAAGTCCGATTTGCTTGCCCTTGAAAAGGCAACACAAACATTTTGTCGAAGAACGAAGTCGTGGCAAAGGCCTGTGAAGGTCATGATTCCGCTGGTGTGCGCACGCTGGAGGGAGTTCCAGCCTTTGTGGGACCCCTCCACACGGCTTCCATCTGTTTGTATGTCCTGCCGCTGACGTTCAAGGCAGCCTTTCCGTACGTGTTTGAGCTGTTCGTCATGAACCTAAAATTGATTTTAGTGTGAAACAGGCTGTTCCAGGGATAAGTACTCACTCTGCATGCCCCCACTGACCAAACTGTACCTTCGCGTGCCCATTTCTCAAATGTCGAGGTGAGTCTCGTCTCCTGCTTGTTTCGTTCCCAGTACTTTGCGGGATTCCCACCCTCAGCATGTTTCTTCAGGATACAGGCAGAAATCTCCGCGACTACTTCCTTCTGGTGGGGATTCTTGGAGGGATTAAGGATCACAGTCGCGTATCTTGCTTTTAGGATTAGCTTGTAGATTATTAGACAAAGGAAGATGTACTCGCCTCATAATGAAATGCCAGACATCCAGTTTCATTGTAGCATCAGGAAAAACAATATCCACAGCGCTGTGCACATGGCAGCAGTTGTCGGCAACAAATACTTCAGGCGGAGGGACATCAAGGGCCTCACATCGTGTCTTGAGGCCTTTGAGAAGCTCGCTTATCTCGGCATTTGACTGGCCATGACAGAAGCGCTGATGTAGTTAGTAATCAGCACCGTCGCATTCACACTTTGCGAAAATAGCCTACCCAGCCCACAATCTCACCATTCTCATTCATCAGACTTATGATCCCTCCCTTCAGGACCTTCAACTTCTGTTTCTCTCGGCTGGTTATGATTGCTTTTGTGGTGGCACGGAATGTGTTATCGAACAAAATACTTATGCCTGTTCAGCATTCATGGTGAGCGTCAATTGCCGATAGCAGAGCAATTCCCAAGTCTTACCAGAGAGTGTGCGAAGATATTCCTCAGACTCCCTTTCCCGCGTTACTGACACAAACTCCTGGAAGATCTCGCTGACCATGTCATGCGAGATCGGCCTCGCATTGTACTCTTTTACGTCGTAAGGACCCAAGAACGCCCAAAGTGGATTTGGGCTGAAGAAATCCATCCCATGTTGTGTCATTCGACGTGATTTCCAAGCTTGAAGGTAATCCAGCTTCTGCCTGTGGTACTCAAGCAAATGAAGTTCTTTTTGAAAGGTATGTTACACCTGTGCTTGAGAAGTAGATAGTGCTACTCATGTTGGATGTTTTCAGTGAGAGTTCCCACTGTAGATGATGGGCGTAACTCGATAACTAGATCAAACAACTCGCAAGTAACAGCACATCTGTAGAAAAATATTGGTACGTTGGCTGCCGCAATGAATGTGACTCAGCCGCTGAACAATCACCAGCCAAACTTGATCAAGCTCACCTGGAATGGACCAGTGGGACCAATTGCGCCAGAAGTCTTGGCTTGTTGTTGCGAAGCAGTGTCCTTTGATCGTCTTCCTGTCGTCACGCTCACACTCGCTTTCCAGACCCTTCTTGCTTGACGCATCATTTTTGCAAGTCTCGCAGCGGAGCTGCATGCCTATCGCTGCCTCATCAAGCATTAATCCATGGACATCTCGAGGACCGGTCCCAGTCCACCCATCCCACGAAACACCATCTGTACAATTGCACTGTGGACATCTTGCAAGCTCGGGGTGGTAGAATGGATGTACGACACGAAGAGGCTTCAAGTACAAGACCTCTGGGTTAACTGGAGGCTCGGACTGATTGCGCTTTTGGGCATGGAGATAGGATGGTGGCAAAAAGTGAGGGCCAAGTATTGGAATCCTGCTGTCCAGGCATGGTCGCATGAGTGATTTCGCTGATTGTATTCGTGTCTTCTCTGAGATATAGTTGATGTACTCAATGACTTCAGCTTCCCATTCACACTGGCGCCTGGGTCTTGGATGGGTCATGCACTCGGTATGTCCTGTCCACGACCCAACACATTTTTTCACCTATAGCGCAACAGGTCAATGTCAATATGTGAAGTTCTGTATGCCAGTGCATACCACATCTTTCCAGTTTGCCTCGAATTTTTTCTGCATGTCTTTTGGCTCCAGCATTGACAGCAGTTTGCGTACCCCGTCCGGTTCATAGACAGACATGATTATCTCAAAGTCTGCGAGGCTCTGCGTGCGTTGGAAGATAGAAAATGTAACTAGTACTGTGATGGTAATGGAAGGGCAATGACAATAATTTTTTTCGCAATTAGGAGGCGGATGCTCTTTGCGCTTGACTACTTCCACCACACTAGTGTCCGAACTTGAGTTCACTCTATATTTGTGTAACTGCTGTGCCAAGTCGCCGTCAAAATCAATTATTTCATCAAGCGTGATTGGTGAGATGAACAAATTCAATTAAGGCTCAAAACTAAGAAATGGTACTACCGCATACTATGTAGTTCAAAACTACTAAGTGGCTCCGCGTCTCCACCAAGTCCATCCGTCAAAGTCTACTACCAACTGGGGGGCAACCCACAACTATCAGATCCAACTCCATTAGCAACAATGCAGATGCTGTATCTGTCAGAGCTCACCTGGACCCACAGATTCACACCAAGGATATTAGTGTGTGTAGTTTGGATTTGACGAACAAGTTAACCGCCTTGTGATGTCCAAAAAAGCGCCCTGTCACCCGGAAAGAAGCTTCTGCTGACTCCGCAAATGACAGCACAGGTGGGTCAAACACCAGACCGTGTCCAAATAACTTGATACTGAAATGTGGATCTGGTCGTGGGATGCGGATGACGACCGGCTCTGACTGGACTCGATAGGTAAGCCATGGAATGTGGATCTGGTTGTGGGATATGGATGACGGCCGGCTCTGACTGGACTCAATAGGTAAGCCATGGAGGGAGTGGGTGTTTGAAGTTGACAGTGATCTCTGGTGGGCCACCAGACGTTGGGGTGTGCGCTTGACACAGATGCTCGCGACGAATGGAATCATAGACATCCCCCGATAACTCGTCCGACAAGCAATTATCATGACATCGGAAAGCTTCAAGGAAGTCTCTGGCAGTAATGTTTCTTTTGGGATGCCCCATTTGACCCGGCTCATGAGAGATAGCACCGTGCAGGACGTCGTTCAGCTGCACAATGGCTCCTCCAAGCGCAGGCATCAATAACTCAATCAACAGCACAGGCATCAATAACTCAATCATGCCCAGCACAGGCAACTGGATTAGCCTCATACCACCAATTTGCGAACGACTCACTCAAGGAGAACATCGAGAGGAGTGACACCATGGTTTCCCCATTCCAGGATGTGAATGGACTGAAGGAACAACCCCAGGCATCAATAACTCAATCATGCCCAGCGCAGGCAACTGAATTAGCCTCATACCACCGATTTGCAAACGACTCACTCGAGGAGAACATCGAGAGGAGTGACACCATGCTTGCCCCGTTCTGGGATGTGAACGGACTGAAGGAACAACCAAAGGGCTTTGTTCACCCTCAGTCCAATGAATCTGAAGGCGTCAAGGCAATGCTTGAGCACAACACGACTTGAATGCTGCAACAAATAATCACCGAGGGTCGTCATGCTGCTGGAAGAGCAATGCGACTGCATTATCCAGGTCTGTTGAGAACTGCTCGACAAATGCTTGCACCACAGGGGTTCTTGGGATGGTTCTTGAACACAGCTCCTCACGCTCACTGGTGAAGAAGAGTTGTCAGCAAAACCACATTCTTGACGGTGAACTTCCAATCAGCAGGATTAGGCTTCATCACCTCGAGGAACATATTGGAATCCTCAGGGCGAGGTTTAGCAATGACGAGAATGTCGTTGAACAGGCAGGAAAAGGAAGGGATCCTTGCAGATATTGGAATTCACCCACCTGGAAGACTGGAGAGCATCATAGAGTAGCCTTTCTCCTTAGTCCATTGGAGGTCTGAATATTCGTCAAATAGAGAATAAACAAGAGAGCATACATACCTGGAGATTGCGCTTCAAACAACCCCTTCGTGAGATCTCCGAGTTCCGACAGAGCGACCCCTTCGCAGCTTCCTGCGCGCCTGCGGCGTGCTGGCCCCTTCACATGACCATATTTTCGCCACAGATATGATAAGATTGATATGTTATTCCAACGTAAGTGTGGTCTATTTTAATCATTTAGGGCGCAAACACAATCTATTGAGTTTGAATGTAATAGCACCTGCACCATCATTATGTTCCATCTTGTTCTGAGCCGCCATCAACACATCATTGTCGCATGTATCCCTCTGGCCTCCAAATGTGCCTCTGTCAGGTCGGGTCAACAGTGGCAGATTATTAGTCTCATCCACGTGTCTTATTATGATGCAGTCATGCAGGCAGATTGACGCATTGTAATCGTGTGTGAGTTCCATAATTTAAACACCTCTCACATTGTTCTCACTGTACTCTACCAGTACTCTACGTGCCTAACATTGCAAACTCTTGTGAGCATTGCACGGAGCACCACTGCAGCATGTCTGCCCGCTTGCAATATGTGCTGGATGACAAACAGCAAGTATGTGATACCTGTGGATGCAGTTTTAGGCCCAAAGGCTTCAACAGTCACCGAAGAGCCTGCGAGCAACGAGCGAGAGAGTCAGAAGAAGACATGGACCTATGGGCTTCGATCCCACCTGTACAAGGTGAGTGGATCAATACTAATACAATTCTACTAATACTAATGTAACTCTGCTTTTTACAGCTGCTGTGCTGGCCCTGTCTGTACAAATCGCAAACATTGATGGTGAGTTTTCTATCTCAATTTGGACATTTTAAAACTAATTCAAGGTTGCTGCGGCATGGCCTACAATAGAACAAGCCTGGATTGACCACGGCTATGATGATGATAATGACCACAATCAAGATAACGCTGATGTTGATATGTCATCAGGTAAGTTTCCATTAGTCAGTCAGTATATGGTGTGCTGAGATCTTGACTATGTTGCTTAGATCGCTCCGAGTTTGATAATGTCCCTGAATGTGCTGTGGATGATATTCGCACTGAGTTTCACCCGCACGCAAGGATCACAACGCGCATTGAAGCATTCTCCAATTTCACACGACAGCGCCACTATGAGCCACCCCGCCCAGATCGCCAGCCTTGGCTCCCGTTTCGATGTCAACTTGACTTCAAGGTTGCAGAGTTGGCACATGAAGCTGCACTCACCCACGAGCAAACGACACGCCTCATCTCATTGGTTCGGCGCGGTAGAACTGAAGACTTCACACTTAAGAATTATGCTGATGTTCGGAATACTTGGGAAGCAGCATCACATTGCTTGACACCGGTAAGTATCTATGCTTGCTGTTGCACGTCATCTGATTTGTCCAGTTCGAAAAGGATACTATTATGGTGCCGCTAAATGGCAACAACATGGAATACACGGTGTACTTTCGCTCCCTTTGGGATTGGGGGGTAGATCTCCTGCGACACCCTAACCTCGGCCCTCATTGCGTTTTCGATGCCCAGCGACTATCAAAATTCGATGGAGACTCATTCGTTAGGTTCATTGATGAACCATGGACCACAGATGCATTCTGGGAATGCCAGGTATGTATTTTCATGCTGTATCATGACATACTATTGATTTAATGAATATTTCATAGTCCCAGATCCCTCTGGACACGAAACCATTAGCATTCATCTTGTACGCCGACAAGTCGAAGTTGTCATCATTTGGGCGCGATAAAGGATATCCTGTAATTGCTCGCTTAGCAAACCTCCCCATTGCCATCAGAAATGGAAATGGGGTTGGTGGGGGACGGGTAGTTGGATGGCTCCCATTGGTACGTTTCAACATCATTTATTACAAATTTACATTGAGCGCTAACCATCACTCCCTAGGCCAAAGATGACCCAAAATACAAAGGCACACCACAATTCACCAACTTCAAAGTCGCTGTATGGCACACAGCTATCAAGAAGGTGCTTGCATCGATTATACCACCTTCGAAAGATGGCCAATGGGTGAATTGTTGGGACAATATTGCGAGACTCTTCTATATGCTGGTGTTGATACTGTCTGCGGACTATGAGGAGCAGTAGGCTTTCATTTTATGTTTATAGATACATTATTTAACTTTTGATGTTTTAGGAGTGTAATGTCACTCACTCGAGGCATCATGAGCAACTTTCCATGCCCGATCTGTCTGATCCCCAAGGACAAATTGTCTTCTGTCATGCCCCACAACTATACTCTTCGCACAAGCCAGGCAACGGCAACCCTTTTGATCGAGGCAAGGGCAGAGCACCGTAAAGGACAGTGGGAGGTGATACTTAAGAGCCAGTCAATTTGCGAGGTTGATGTATGATAGCATTCAATTTAATTTATTGTCTCTCACTTGACTTTTAGAACACATTTCACAATATGAACCCCAAGACTACTGATGTTCACCGCGCACTATGCTATGACCACCTCTATGTTGTCCTCCGAGGTCTTTTTGGGGACCACATATGGCCGGAAATGCAGCTACTAATTGGCCCTTTGGGACGCAACTTGGTTGCGAAAATTGACGAGAAGTAAGCTTGTTAAGTTTCACAACACAATCCAGTCTCACTTTTCACTCTATATCTAATAGTTTTGATGCACTGCCACATTGGCGCAATCTGAATCACTTTGATGCTGTGATGGCTATAACATTCACTGATGGAAGTAAATACAAAGACATTTTCAAGGTAATTGATCTATTATCTATTAAGTCGAGTGTCTTCTACTAATATTAGGGCTATACGCTGTTGAATCAGCTGATCACGTTTGCAGCTCACAATGTTCTTCTGAACGCTGGTGAAACTAAAATCACCTACCTTCTCCTTCGATGTATCCATGCCTATCTCGAGGTGGACCTGTATGCAGCATTAGAGGTACATACCACGACAACGATTGCTGCAGGACGAGAAGCACTTCAGGACTTCTCAGAGCTTATGAATGTTAGAGTTTAAAAGTCCAGTTGCAAGACCAAAAAAAGACCGCAACCAGACCAAAACCGGACCAAAAAAGACCAGACCTTGGTTGCCAGTTGCCTCAGGTCCAGAAAAGTCCGGTTGCAGTTGCCTAACTTTTGTGAAAAATGAAAGACCGGTCCATTGTGGGACCGGTTGCCTATATATGGGTAGTACTCATCTAGGCAATTCTATCGGTGGTCTGACCTTCAAAATCGGTTGAGATTTGGGAAAGTTACAAGCATTTTAAGAATGGCTCGTATAAATCTGTGGGGCGTGTTTTTAGGCTTGTTGGCACTGAACCAGGGATTGATTTCCAAGCTTAAAAACCTTTACCAGTGTGTTCGTAGACCTCAAAAATGGTATGGAACATCAAATTTAGATAACTCTTGATGATTTATCATGCTCCAAGACTAGCACAAAGATCAGACATGTTAGAATGGCGAGTCAAAGTCAGTCAAAATCACTGATTGGCTCATAACTTACCCAAATCTTGAGTGTTTGACAAGGTACGAGTAGCTATAGTATCGCCTTGACTAGCAGCACATATTTTGTCAAGACACCTAACCCTTATAACAACTTTTATTTTTCAAAGACAAGCCTGATAACGATTTTTTGTCAAGCTTATATCTTGCTTATATCTTACCCTATTGACAAGATAAGACTAGCTATAGTATCGCCTTGACTAGCAGCACATATTTCGTCAAGAAACTTAAGCATAGTAATGACATTTCATATTTGACTCACATGCAGGGCGGAGTTTAGGAACCCTTTTTTATAATGCTCATATCTTGCTCAGATCTTAACCGTTTACTACAAGAATTAGACCGTTGGAATCGTGGGAAGGGGTACTACACTGCCACAGGACCAGTTGTGGTGGCAACCGGTCTAAAACCGGTTGCAGGACTGCAAAAGACCACAAACATCGGTCTTTATGGTTCGCTGATATCGTAGGAATAAAAAGACCGGTCCTGGTCCGGTTGCCTCCAAATAAGGCAAAAGACCGGACTTAACCGGACTTTTAAACTCTAATGAATGTACATTATAGTAGACTTTCTTGACGACCCTTTCACTTTCAGATTGATTTGTTAGAAATATATTCGAAAGTCACAAGCTGTGCGGCCAGACAAGAACTGGTCATTCCCAAAAAACCATCTAGCCGCCCACCTGTTTGACGACATCAAGGCCAAGGGAGCGACCCAGAACTACAACACGAAGCCGAATGAGAAGTGTCACGGTCCCCTAAAGGAGTCATATCAACGACGGACTAATTTCAAAGATGTTGCACCACAGGTTCGTCATCCTATTTTTGATATTGTTGTTTTAATCTAGGTTATTACATACAGATTTTACGTGCAGACCATTGGTCTCTTGTTTCTGAGTTCATTCGTGACCGACTGGATGCACTGGACGCATACAATGCTCAGATGGCCGAAGATGGGACCAATGAGACCAACCTGTTACACTGAAAGCGTAGACTCAGGTAAGAGCTCTGTACTAAGTCTTAACGTAAGACGAAGATAATGCAGAGGTTCGTTTATCGTTATCGTTGAGGTCAAAGCTTGGTGACAAGAGTCGGCAAGTGAAGACAAGACTAATGGTATCAATCGAGTAAGGACACTAAGACGAAGAGTCTTTAGTGAAATCATATACAAGAGCTGTCTTGCTCAAGGAAGGTCTATCAGAATACTGAGTAGATTCAAGTTAAAGAATACAGGACAAGACAATCGACTACTTATAGGTAAAGGTCAGTTCAGGGCAGGGCTACCGAGGCAAAGGTAAGGGTACAGGGCACAAGATAAGAAGTACGAGATAAGACGGGGATCAAGGATGCTGTACAAGAAGGCGATGAGACGTCATAAGGCAGTACATGATAGGAGAAAAAGATAGGGGGGTACAGTCCGAAGCATGTTATCGTAACACAACCCCGATAATGACCTCCCGTCCAACTTTCACATCAGATTCGGATTGAAGCAACCGAAAAAGCCGCTTGAGACCATCGAGGAACAACATATTGACAATCCTTCCTTCAGGCGGTTCCACACAAAGCTCAATGCATTTTTAAACGCCTTACCGGCAGTTACGCAGCAGGTGAACATGTTACCTTTGGATACAGTAAGTCAAATGTAAATGTCAGCGCTCACACATGACTGATTTTGAGCAGATAACAGAGTTTCAATTCCTCAAGGTTAACTATGAGTCACTAGTTGATTTCTGCTAGGCCACAGACTATCTTCATTGCAGCCCGAGCTTCCACAATTATCCCCGATATGACTGTGCCATCATTAACACCACAACTGGCATTTTTTTTCACACCTCCTCTTCCTCTTTACATGTGTTGTTCATGACACATCCTATCCCATTGCCCTTATACATCCATACGATGCACCAATCGGGAGGTGTTACCAGAAGGACAGACACCTAAAGCTTTGGCGTGTTAGATCGCAACCAAGAGAAACCGCTAGCGAGTTCATACTAGCAGAATCAATCATCCGAGGAGTTGCTCTCACTCCTGATCCCACTACACCTGGTGACTTTCTCATTATGGACACAGTAGACAGCGACATTTTTCTGCGCATGAAGCAAATGCACCTTGCAGCCGGGCACTGATCCTTGTATCATTATCCTATCTCATGATACTATCTCACTCGTATTTCTAACTTGTTTTAAGGATGGGATTCACCTGAGGATGGCACCAAATCGTCCATGGTTACTCCAGGTCAATCTGTTCAGCAACACTGCAAAATCGTCGATGGTTACTCCAGGTCAATCTGTTCAGCAACAAAGCTGAGCGCTTGCTGCAAAACCATCAATGGTTACTCCAGGTCAATCTGTTCAGCAACAATACTGAGCGCTTGCTGCAAAACCATCAATGGTAACTCCAGGTCAATCTGTTCAGAAACAAAGCCAAGCGCTTGGGGGGAGGGGGGGTGGTATCACGTTATTCAGATCTGCCTTCGTGACGTCAAATTGTCAACGGTTACTCCAGGTCAATCTGTTCAGCAACAAAGCTGAGTGCTGAACGCTTGCTGTCAAAGGAAGGTTGTGACCAGCTTTGAAGGGGGGGGGGGTGTCACCAACAGCCTATTAGGTGAGTCTTGTTAAGTTCTACCTACTGTTACAGTAACATGAAGCCCCTATCTTTTTTCTGACCCTATCACTTCTTCACCTCATCACGACATCACACCTTCACCTTTTCACGATTCACCATGATGCTTGACGCACTTCCTGATCCCCGCCGACCCTGACCTTCTGTGATAGAAGCTAGATGCTTCCATCTGGACCCTTGATCTATGGCCTCATGGCCTTACTTCCTTTTCCCTTGATGTTCCCACTGAACCCTGACCCTGACCTCATGGACTCCTGCCTGATCTTGCCTACCCGATATATCTTTCTTGACTCTTGTACGATTACCAGACCTGCCCTAAACACTGTGATCTTTACCTATATATAGTCAATCCACTTGTACTATTATTCCTTAACTTGATTCTACTGGGTTTAACCTTGACTTGTATATTCTCTTGAGTTAACTCTCTTGAGTCTGATCACGAACCCTCTATACTCTTGGATCGCTATCCTTGAGTCGATACATCTTCTCTTAGACCGTTTGTCTTTGAGTCGATACTGATCCCTCGTCTAGACTTAACCGTCGAACACGAAACCCATCTTCAGCCATTGCCTTAGAAGCTTACCTCCCTTTCCCGTTCTGTCACAATCTGATGGCTTAGGCTACCAGGTATATTGATGTTCAAACGATACATGACATGATAGCTTAGGACCGTTGTCCTTCGCTTACCAATCCCAGTCCGACTACGACCATTGTCGTAACACCTACCACATATTCCACTCAAATGTCTATCTTCAGCATGGTCGCCTCTCCGCACCAACCACAGCCCAGGTGAGTCTCATTTAGTTCTACCTACCACATATCCCACTCAAATGTCTATCTTCAACAGGGCTGCCTCTCGGCACCAACCACAGCCTCCAGGTGAGTCTCATCTAGTTCTATTACCTACCGTATATCCCACTCAAATGTCTATCTTCAACAGGGCCGCCTCTCGGCACCAACCACAGCCCCCAGGTGAGTCTCATCTAGTTCTATTACCTACCATATATCCCACTCAAATATCTATCTTCAACAGGGCCGCCTCTCGGCACCAACCACAGCCTGTTACGCATGTTGTGCTTGAGGGCCTGTTCACAACACAACCACGTAAATGCCGCGACACTACTGTTTCATCATAGCACCCTATCCACACCAAGACCAAGACCCTTCACATCGCACATTGAGTTTAATTGCTCCTACCATCAACCGCACTTGCGCCGCTAACACTGGTTTTGGTGCAGATGAGAGTAATATTGCAGCGTCCTTGTTTTAAATTAACCATTCAAATGAGTCCATTCTCATGGTCTGAGTCCACAGCCGGTCATCTGATGTCATTGAGCACATATCAAGGTTGGTCGATTTTACGTGCATTATGTGGTGTTGGCTGATACTCATTAGAAGCGCTTACTCTTGCTCTAATTACATCTCCAGCAGCTCGTCAAGGTCCCGAAGTTGCCATCAACATGCAGTTTGTATGACTACAATGATAGTCATGTGTTCACAACATGTCCTCCATGCCGGTCCAAGATGTTCTGACTGTCATCCCAACTGCATAGTATAAATTGTAGCTGGTGTTGTGCTGTCGGTACGAGCACCACATTGATCATAAGTGTTGCTGATCTTGTTGCCTCCCTTTAGACTTGTCATCATGTCTCAACTCGAAGCAACTCAACACCGCACTGATGAATCTTCATCTGATGAGAGGACTGGATCCACGCGCAGTGTCATTCAAGGGTCAATTTCTAATCCTATTCAATGTCAGGCTACCAGTGCGACTGAACCAAGACTGTGCCATTCCACTCACAAAGTGGAAGTGAGTGTGAAAGTACATGATCCCATCTCGTGTTGCTAACTGAAGCGCTGTTGATGTCTGCAGGGGGTCAAGAATGCACAGCTTGAAAACCAGGCGCTGAAGGAAAGACTGCGCGCTGTGGAGGAACAGAATACGGTACTATTGGCCAATAAGGGTCGCCGCAAGAAGGACATTTCTGTTTCCGAAGATATTCTAGCCTTTGAAGTGGAACTCAAGGTCTGCGCAAAACGATATGGTCTCACAGTCAACATGTTCCCTCCACCAGCAGCCCTGCTCAAAACGACACTTCCCAACCCTGCACTGCCATTCAATACAGCTGCTCGGTACACCACGAAAGGTTCGCAGGAGATCGCAGTTCTGGCGGAATTGTACAACATGCTCCCTCAGCACCTGCATCATCTGGTGCCGATGAATCATTTTTTCAATGTGGTAATAATCTATTTATTCGTAATTAACATGCCACATCTTACTTAACTTTATCTACAGTTCTCCAAGGCAGTCTGTGCTGGCCGCGCCTCCGAGCTTAAACAGCTCAGGAGTGTCACTGGCCAGATTTTTGAACTTCCCCAACATTACTTTGCCATCTCACACACTCATGACACAGAACCTGAGATCCAGCAGCTCCTTGGTATCACTGGCAAGGCCGGCAAGTCATATCCCCTTTTGCCACCTCTATTGTTTCCAGGGAATATTATTGATCGCAGTCGTAAAACACTGTTTGGTAACTGGCAACCTATAGCTAAGGTGCGCCATCATTTAATTTTTTCAAATCTAAACTACACTAATATTTAAATTAACAGACACTGGCCTGCTGCCTCAAGGGCAGGACATCACTCTCTAATGGGAGCAGACAACAGGGCGGTGCTCCACCCAATGCAGTCAAGTGGGGTGTTATGGCGGTAACGCCCGGGGCTATGGCTTGGGCGCTCGTTGCAGTAAGTCCAGGCTCTTTTTCACCCTGCTCATCTTGGCTGATTTGATCTTCAATGCACACTTCTATAGAACATCTTTATGTTATCACCTGACCAGGAATTTCCCCAAGAAGGCAAGGGGAAGACCTCGAGAATTAACTACAGCACGGTCTTTGCGTTCTTTAAAGAACTTCTGGTCTGCGACTGGGAGAAGCCTCACCTAAAGGAGATTACAAAGCATATCAATACCTTCGTTTTTGAACATGCTTCTCGCCCCTCTCACGATCTTAATAGCAGGGATTCCACTGATGATCTTCAAGAAGAGATGCACTTTGCTCAACTTGGATTGGCGGCAGATGCAGAAGAGGACCCATCTGACCCTGACCTGGACACGAGTATCGATGTCCTCGCTAAAGCTGCGGGAATGATAACTATAGGTGAATCGGACGGGGCTCCTGGTCCAGGACTTCCTACTACTTGACCATCGACTATCACCACAGTGTCAGCCCTCACTACAGCAAGCCACTCTTCATCAGTCAGCAGCAGTCAGCCGGTTTTTCACAAACCAGTAGCGGAAACAGAGGTGATAGTAATTGAAGAGACTGATATTCAGAAGATGAAGTCTAAAGCAGGTCGGCCCAAAAAGTCGAAGGTGGTGTGGGAAGGGGATAATGGTCCAGGTGAATCTGTCCCCCAGCGACGCGGCCGTTCGAAGAAATAGGTATCATAATGATATGAAGTGTCCCACTATGCTAGATTTTTTTTTACATTTTCTTATCCCGACGTCTGTTACGATAACATACTTCGGACCATACCCCCTATCTTTTTCTCTTATCTTGTACTGCCTTATGACGTCCTATCATCTTCTTGTACAGCATCCTTGATCACTGTCTTATCTTGTATCTCTTATCTTGTACCCTGTACCCTTACCATTGCCTCGGTAGCCTTACCCTGAAGTGACCTTTACCTATAAGTAGTTGATCACCTTGTCCTGTATTCTCTAACTTGAATCTACTCAGTATTCTGATAGACCTTCCTTGAGCAGGATCGCTCTCGTATACGATTTCACTTAAGACTCTTCGTCTTAGTGTCTTACTCGATCGATACCATCAGCCTTATCATTACTTGACGACTCTTGTCACCAAGTCTTGATACCAAACGATAACGATAACGAACCTCTGCATTATCTTTGTCTCACGCTGAGACTTAGTACAGAGTTATTACCTGAGTCTACGCTTTCAGCGTAACAACATCAAATTGTCTGCTCCTAGCTAGTATACTACAAATAAAATACAAAGTTCATGCCGCCGCCCTACAAAAGACTTTGCAATCTGTGTGTGGTAATTATGTCAGCATTGCAAGGCTTTGAAGCACACTTTTCAGCTCTTTTTTTCTCTTTCAAACTCCAATGTCAACTTCATCATAATGATTGTTGAATCTGTCTCCCTTCAATCTTGCCCAAACTTATTACTAACTATTATAATATCTCGGCTGCCATTGTCTGATTCAGAATCAAGAGCAGGTCCGTTGATCATCATGTCTGAATGCTCATTATTATGTGAAGTCTGACTAATTGAGAATTTTTGACAGCCGCATTGACAATAGAAGCACCGACACCTACCACAAGCTTGGTCCAGGGTCCAGGACTTCACTCACGACTCGACTCCCATGCGTTTGTTACAGCCTTAATCTTATCTAGATGTGCGACGACCGCCATATTTCGGACGACCCGTTTCAGTGCCTGCTTCAGCACCAGACAATCTGCATAGGACACCTTTTTAATAGCATCCGACTCGCCAGTTGCCGCTGATTCACCACACTTGACATTGTGCCTGGATAAGAAGATGTCGTCGCAGGGGACAATTTCCCCGGGTTCTAATAATGCTATGTCGCCGACTACGACTTCCTGTGCGCACAGCACCCAATCGACTGGAGGTTCACCTGCAGGCTGTGGTGTGCCAAAATCTTGAAACAAGCCAAGTGCAAGAGAAACAACCGCTGCAATAGACAACAAAACCTTGAAACACAAAGGGAATGAAGATTGAGTTTGACGGGCATCCTTCTGCCACACGCGTGCAAAACGCTTCATCTTACATTAGATGCTGCACTCCATCGTGCTGGCCAGTTCGATGGTACGTAATAGGTACATACTTATCTGAATCAGCATTAACAGGTGCAGCAGGCATCATCACTGTCAAACAATCTTCAAACAACTCACAGACGGCACACTAAGTTAGACTCATCCTTCCCCCCAAGGCCCTAGAAAATACAACCAAGATACCCCAATGGCAGTGGATCTGCCACCAACACCCCCAGCTGATACCATACCGCATGTAACCAACTCTCCACTTTTTCCATCACACATTTCCTCAGTGCACATCCCTCTCCCCTCACACCCGCTCAGCTTGCCCCTCTCTGCATAATTGCTTCGGTCAATTTTTACACCGTGCTACATGAAGTTCAGCCTTCCTCCAAGCCCGAGGGTTTTCCAACCGCACCAGACGTGATGTGGACCGATAGTTCACTGCACCCCACTGTCTCCGAGCTATTGCCATACCACATGCGAGCTTGTTCGAGGGGTATATCACCTCATTCACACTTATGCTGTCTCTGAGTTATTCCTGATCTGTACATGAGCTCGTTCGAGGGGGGGGTGTATTGGTGTGGGAGAAATCGTAGAAGTCCGCTATAGTGATAGTGTACCGATCCTGCTGGGTGCGAGAATAGTAGTCGACCCAAGGGGATAGCTCTGAGAGCAGTTCCTCAAGTATGAGCGAGGGGAACAGTGAAGAAGGAAGTGATGCGCTAAAGACAGAACAGCTGGGTATGCGAGGAGATGCAGAGATGCGTGGATGCGTGGAGATTAGTGATGTGCACAGCCCAGCTCGGCTCAAAAGCCGGGGCCACGGCTCGGCTTGATGGGGCTCAGGCTCACTGAGATCACAGTCCGGGCCTTCCTTGACGGCTCAGGCTAGGCTCGGCTTGGCCTAGGCCTAAGCTGCGGCTTGCTATACAAAATATAAACTGGTCACGGGTCGTTTGGTGATGTCATTAATGGCTGTGGAAAATGCGCGGGCATCAAAGTACATGAACGAGCGTGACCGATGTACTAGGACGATGTGTCTCAGTGATGTCGTAGTAGTCTGACAACCTTGTACACTATGTTCTCTTCCCAAATCAGCAACTGCCTCTGACTAAGCTTCGGAAACCACCGTGAGACCCTTCTCCTCGTCCCTGAGGTCCTGTGAACCCCTAGTCCATGCACCCCCCTAAAAAAGAACCGGTGCCGCCCTCGACGCCCTTTCTCCCTTCTATTCCCCATTCTTCTCTTCTTCTATTTGCCCTTCTTCGTCATCCTTTTCTTCGTCATCGTCTTCTCCTTCTTCGCATTCTTCTTCTTCTTCCTCTTTCTCCTCATTTCTCTCCTCTTCCCTTTCTACCTCTTCATCGTCTCTCGTTGTCTCGTATATCTCCTGTTTCTTCGCTAGTTGTGTGCCAATTCTAGGATTAAATGTTCGTAATCTTCTTGCACTGAACTCTCCTTGTATTGGTCGTCCTTCCAACGTCTCCAGTTTGTACGAATTCCGATTCCTTGACTGAATTCTCCGCGGGACCGACCACTTCGGTACTAGCTTGCGTTCCGTTTTAAAGGTATAATCTAAATCATTGCGATACACTTGAACCAGTTGACCGATTTTGAAAGTAACCTCACCAGGCCTCCGCTGTAACAACTTTGTGTCGAACACCGCCTTCCGCCTAATGGCATGACGGACCGTCTCTTCGTAACCATCCAAGCGCTGTTGTTCCACATACGCAATCTGTGTCAATGCATCCGTTTGCCTAAGTATCGAGGTGCTGTCCTCTATTCTTGTTCTCGGCGTGTTCGCTACTAACCCCAGAAGTAGTTCCTTAGGTGAAAATTTCAGCGTTGGCAACAATCGATGGTTTAATGCATGGACCGCATCATCAAGATGATCCGGCCATGTTACCGGTAATCTATCCCATGCTGCTTCCTGCTGTTCATCGTCTTCTCCAATATTCGGTGTGCATAATTGTTTTAAAACGTGCAGCAACAGCTTATTAGTTCCTTCCACTAGGCCATTCACCCATGGCGAGTACGCGGCCACTATATGCACCTTACACCGTCTTGCCTCGCATAGCGCTCGTACCGCTTCATTATTGAAATGTCTTCCCCCATCCGCCATAAAAGTCTCCGCTGGTGTGAACGCATTGAATATGCTGTTCAAACTATCCATTGTCGTCTTCGCACTGCCTGCCGTCTTGTATTTGAACACCCAGGTATGTTGTGAAAACACATCGAGGTACACTCCCAATGTGTGATATCCGCTCTTCCCCTTAGGGAGCGCAAGATAATCGCCCACTAATAACTCGAATGGGTGCCTCCTGGTGATTGGTTCTAATAGTGAGTGTAAGTGCGTTGGACCGAAACTTTTACACTTAGCGCAGTTTCTGATAGCTTCCATGATTGATGCGTCCAACTTTGGACTACAGAACTGGTCCAATAGTGTCATCTTCACCGCGTCTCTTCCCCAGTGGCCTCCCTCCATGTGCGCTTTTTCCGCTAATATCTTTGCTTCTTCTTTTGATATACACTCTACCTTAGCTCTCGCCCTCGTTTCTGTGCCCCCTTTCAAGTGCCACAGCTTCCCTTCTTCGATAACGTATTGTGACGCTCTATGTCTTGCGCGTCGTTTCTCTCGTACGTTCCTTTCCTGATCTAAATTACAGATAGCGTCAATAACCTCCACAAACACCGGCTCCTTTGCCAGTCGTGTTCGCAAACTCTCTATCTCCGGGCTCGTCGTTGTTATCAACATTATATCATTCGTTAGTCCAATTCTCGCTTCCCAATCCTCACTCACCGTCCACTCACTTCCGTCTCCTACCGCTGGTAGTATTCCTTCCCATTTCCTACTGAGTCCGTCCGCCACCACATTCAACTTCCCCGGAACATGTCTCACGTCCACGATATTATACGCCAATATACCTTCCCGCCAGCGTGCGTGCGCTACATTTAACATTGGGTTTAACAACGTATCCTTAAGTGCGTTGCAGTCCGTTTCGATCTCTACTGGGAAGCCCCATATTATACCTGAAAATTTATCTAACCCAAATTTCAGTGCCGCAAACTCTAACAAATATGATTTGTACTTCCTTTCCGTTTGCGATGTCCTTTTCGACGCAAAACCTATTGGGTGCATTCGCTCGACCCACTTCCCATTAGGTGCTTGTACCTTTATCCGCTGTGATAGGACTGCCGCGAACCCTTCTATACATCCATCTGATGTTACTACGAATACTGACCCATCATACCTTGGCGCTTGTAATACTGGTCTCGCTGTAATAGCTGCTTTTAAATCTAGAAATGCATTAGTGTGTTCTGCGGTCCAATGTTGATCTAATCCGAAATCCGTCATCGCCTTTCGATACGCCGTCTTGCTATACGAGTTTCCTATTGGGACTTTGAGTAACAAGTCCCGCAGTGGGCCTTCTCGTTTGGCGTATGCTTTTATTAATGATCTGTAAAATCCTGTTAGCCCTAAAAACGACGTTAGTCCCATCGCATTCGCTGGCCTCGGCCAATTGACGATCGCTGTTAATTTAGTTAAATCCGGTTTTACCCCGTCTTTCCCGATCGTGCCCCCCGCAAACTCCGTTTCCGATACGCAAAACTTTGTTTTTCCTGGGGCTATTGAAAACCCGCACTCTCTAAACCGAGTAAAAATGATGGTTAGTTTGTTCATCATATCCCTAAACGTGTCAGCTGCGCACCCCCCATCATCCATAAACAATTCCATAAAGTACGTTACCAATAAATCGTGAAGTCTTGCTGCCAATATGTCGCAGAATGCTGTTGGCGCCCCTGTAATCCCCATCGGCATCCTCTTATACCAAAAATACCCCCTTCCCTCTACATAAAAGGCCAGATATGGTCGCCATTGTTCTGGTACCTCGACCGCGTAATATCCTGCCGCGAAATCGAATATCGAAATATACCGGTGCCCGCTTAAGCGTTGCTGCTTCGCCAGGATGTCCCCTTGTATCATTGGTGCGACTTCAGTTACCTTATTCAGCTGTGCAAAGTTCTGACATATCCTCCATTTTCTTGATTTGACACTTCCTGTGCTTGCGGTACTTCGCGCTCCAGTAACTCGAATGCCGGTGTCCTTCCCTCGCTCCTACACTGGTCGTTGACCCTCTGCTTCAATTCCTCTTCCGACAGCCCGTTTGTTTCGTGTGCCTTCTGAGCTATAACCGTTGTCGCCGTGCACTTGATCAGCTCCGGTTGTGCTCGTTCCACGATACCCACCTTCAACATTTCTTCCACCCGCTCATTATAGAACCTTGATTGCTCCGGTGTTAATGGTCTCTGGTGTATGCGTAAATTGAATGTCTTGTCCTCTGGTACGTTGAGGTTTATTTGCGCTCCTGTTATCACGTTGACCTCCCGTAATGAAAGCGCGAACACGTCCGCGTTGTCCTTGATGAATTGTTCTACTTCCTGTCGTTCTACTTCGGTAAGATCCTCTCCGATCGTGACTTGTCTAACGATCTCTGATACCCTCTTTGGCTTGAAAGGATCTCCTTGTCTCGTATATATCGACGGGTCTTGATCCGCCGGCGGTAGTTCTGGCAGTTCTCCCAGTAAGTGGTCCACGTGTTCTGGTGTCTCCTGCACGCTGATAACTCCAATCCCAATTTCCTTCTCTACCTTCTCGACTTGCCCACTGCTTTCCGCTCTCCGCCAAATCTGCTTCACTCGTTTCCTATCTCGACGCCAGTTTTGATGTCCCGCCGGTTTCCATTGTCCCATTGGAACCCATGATTCTTGGTGCTCCGCTATCTCGTTAACTTCTCGTTTTTCACCATTATTTGAAGCTGACAAGACTTGCCTCGAGGGGGGTGTATCTGAACCCCCCATTTCATTCTCCCATTGTTTGTTATCCAACGTTAAGCTCGTTCCTCCGTTCGACATGTTCATGATTTGATTTCGCAGCGTGATTCCCTTATTTTGATCCGCGATATCGATCGTGTCCATCTCGTATTCGTGTTTCGCCCTGAACCTCTGTAGCATTGGTTTTCCGAAAAGGAATCCCCATCCTCCGCCGCTATCAAATACCTCAAACTCTCCCTTTGCTCGCACTCCCTCAATCTCTATCATTCCCTCCCATTTCGCTAACGAGTTCACTATGCTTCCATTCGCCATGCGCAGTTGTCGTTTCGATTGACTCCAATTATGCAATCAATGTTTGACTTTATCGAATATCGATACGCACATTGCCCCGACCATTGCTCCATCGTCAAAGAGCGCTCTAACTCTGACGATTTCTCCTTTTGGACCCTCCAACGAAATCTGATGTACGAATGGAATCGTTTCGTTTGCCTCTGCTTGTTGTCTTGTTGTCGTGACGTGTCCCGCCGTATACAAGTCAACAGTTTGCATTGTTTCTGCTAAGGCGAGTACATGTTCAGCTGGCGAATTATCTATATGGTCCCCGACGAGAGTAGAGCGCGCAATGAAAGGGTCGTCCTTGTGCAGC